GAAGGCCATATTGCGATGCTGATTATGCAGGCAGATCACGACCACCGACGCTCGGACAACAGGCCTATGCCATTTAGTCTTGTTTAAGGAGTAATCTCTTGGTTGCCAGCAGAGACAACCTAACAACAATCGTCACTTTCCACAACAGAAGCTGAGTATAGCAGCAAGCTCAGGAAAGTGTTTGGGTGGTCACAGCTTAATGAACGATCTGCCATCAACCCACGGACTATTCCAATTCCGTAATGTGCATAATCGTTCGGCTCTATACAAATGGCTGAGAATCCCAGTGTTCATGCAGAGAAACAAAACACGGTCGGAGGTTTCACTATCACTTTATCAGAGAAAGAAGCGTCTAAAAGGAGAGATTAAAATGAAATATATTCAACACGGAAGGATCAACCAAAGCCGCCATATTTTTACAAAGAGTTTAAACACAAATAAATATGAAGATTTTCGCCCAACAATTGGAATGATGAAGAAAAGAGAAATTAATCGTTCGAGGGAGAAGCTATTAAAAATTATCCACCGATTAATTTAGTTACCACCAAAATGGGGCTACTATAATAAGCCAAGACTTCGGGAAGCCGTAAGCCCAAAGTTGGCAGCGTCCAAGCCAACATTCCTAGAATACTCCACCATTACTCACCCACAAAGATAATTTTGCTATAATGTCAACATCGCTTCTAGAATAGAATGTTCCTTGTAATCTAGACCGTCCATTTTTGTAAGCAAATCTTAGCCGTACATTGAGGAGGTGAAAATGCCTATAAATACCACTCCTCCTCTCATTTGTAAGTACCAAGCAAACACCAAGCAAAAACCAAGTCTAAGAAGCAAGTAAGTAATTCTCTCCTTAAGCTTTGTGAAAGTTTGCTTCTTATTATACAATTTTATTTGGTGTTTTGTGTTAATATTATTTTGGTTGCCTTTCCCGTTATTACTTTTGGTGTTATAAATTATTAATCAATCTTGGAGTTTATCACTGCACTGATATCCAACAAGTGGTATCAGAGCATTAATCCCAACAAGTGGTATCATTTTAATGAAGGAATAGTCTTGTCTAGTTGAAATGCCCGAATTTTTATTTTCAAAACTTTTAAATTTTTATTAAATTAAAAATCAGAAATTTTAATTGTGTGGACTGCGAATATAATACAGTCTCAATTCAAGTCTAAATTTGTCAATTGGGCCCAAACCCAAAAATCTATTATCGGAAATTTTGATTTGAGAACACTTAAAATTTTCGAGAAATAATACAGAACTCCGGCTACTGATCTGTTATAAATATATGTAGGTGTAACTACCATATAAATTAATTATCCTAAAATCAAATATCATTATTATTATTGTTTTAATTATTATTGAGTAAAATAAGGAAATGTTCAAGGAAAATGTTCTGAAACTTAAGCTAAAAATAATTTAAAAATAAATCAAACCGAAACCCGAAAACCAATTGAATTTTAAAAACCAGGTGAAAATCATTTCGAACCCAAATAAAAAAATCGAAGCCCCAAATTACTGATTTTAAGACCAAATCGGTTTGAATCAAACCGGAATAAAGTTCATATTAAACTCAGATTTTCTTCTCATCTTTTTTTGCTTTCTTCTTCTTCCTTCCCCTGAACGCCGACCCCAGTTAGCCTCCCCTCCCCTTGGTCCTCGTTTTTTTGACCCACCAAACCAAGCGGCCTCCCCGCCGCAACCTCCTTGCCACGCCGCCGCCTCACACCGCAGCCTCCAGCCTCTCTTCCTCTCTCGCTCCTTTCGTCTTTGGCCGAGCCGCAGCTATCGCAGGAACCTGCCGATTTTCGACCCGATCGGAAAATCACGGTCGCCAGCTGCACCTCGATTTTCTAGCGCGACTCCAATACAGTGATCAGCGATGAAGCTCTCGGTTCTCTCCGTTCTCGCCATTCTCTCTTCTGTTACACGGTTTGGCGCAGCAAAACGATGGCAGCTACTGATCGCGATTTGCAAACGATGAGCTACGATCGCGATTTGCTGCATTTGGGACAGTCGACTCATCGTTTCTCTGCTCCTCCAGTGAAACCAGCCAAGGATCGGCCGGTTGAGCTCTTCCATTCCCTCTAGCGACCTCACTGACCGCGATCCACTCCAGCTCTAGCCAAGCTAATGCCAGCAGAATCAGATCTTGGGTAGTAGAGCAAGTTTCGGTCATTTTAACCGAAAAATTCCAATTTTCATCTTTTTTTACAGCTAGGTAAGTTCATCTTTAACTTCCTTTTTGCATACTTTGTGAATTCTTTGTGCTAGGATATGGAATTTCATTTATTAGTCAAGCTAGAGTAAGGATTAAATCCCTATATATTCTATTTATGCAAATTTGAGGAAAAGGTTTGATTTTATTTACTAACTAAGGAAAAGGTTTGATTTTATTTACTAACTAGTGAGTGTTTTGAAGTGATTCATGTAGCTTTAGAAGAATTGAGTATTGAATTTAAAGTGGCAGCCTCTAGCTAAAGAAGATTATAGTTTTTGTTGAGTTAAGTCCATATTTAATGGTAGAACTATGTCTTTCATAACTTGTTGTTAATGTAAAGGTTTAATGATCGAGATAGAACAAAAATGAGAATTTTCTTGAAATGGCAGCAACTATTTTTAATTATTCCAGCAACTATTTTTAATTATTCCTATAAAGTATTGCTGGATATAGTACATATTGGGTTGTAAGTTTAATTTTTGCAAGGGATTGGTTAATTGGTGGGTAATCTATGATTTCAGCACAGGAGAACTCTGAATTTTTGTATATCGGCAGCAACTACCTGAGATCCTTGTGTTGTTTTAGAAGGACAAATATATATAACGAGTGTACTTTTAAGATTTTCTTACTATTTTGATGTGTAAAAATTTTTAATTATAATTGATACACGGTTAAATGAGTTAGTACATATGGTTTTGTTTGATGAGGATAATGATTTACAGGTCACATATGGTTTTGTTTGATGAGGATAATGATTTACAGGTCAATAAACTGAATCATGAGACCCCTGTTAATTATGACAAGGAATATATAAGTTATAGATGTATATGATTGTTAATAGTATACAGTTGGATAGTTTTAACTAGTAGAATTGATGTTAAGCAAATAGCTATTTTCACTAATTTGCTTTTTTATTTATTTTCTTAACATTATATAGTAAGTTAAAGTTTCGCATTGACGATTAAATATTAATGTGATTGCTTTGGATGGACGAAGGGAAATAAATTTGTTTGATTGCGCGATAGATGGGCTGTGTGTGTATTGATCGAAAAGTATTTAGTGTTATTTGATATTGTCTAAACAGGTAGAAAGTACAGGTAGAAACAAAATTTTAGGGGAGGTTTCTCCCGAAAATTTTGATTTAGAACCTATGGCTAGTCTTAATTAACTAATATTAATAAATAGCGTTTTAATTAGATTAATTCTTTATCCTTCTACTTATATTATTTTCATTATCATTAGTACTTCATTTATGTACTTTAATTATCTATCCTTATCTTTCATTCATTAATGTTTATTATGTATTATTTATTTTATTATTTTTTAATACTATTTATTTGTTTATGCATTTGAATAGAGATGGTCTAATTGTGCATTGCATTATTTGCATGTTAAAAATATTATGTTTAGATTAAAAAATTATCATGTTTAATATAAGTTTGTATTTATGCTATGTGTATTTCACATGCCTTTTTGTTATTTTTCAAAAAAAAAAAAAAAAAAAAAAAAAAAAAAACAGTTGCGCAAACCTTTATTGTGCGAATGTAGAATCCTTCTTTTTTTTAAATCGTTTTTTTTAAATCGTTATTAAAATTATAAATGTAGGTTGCGTTTGCCAATAGCATTTGAACTAGCTTTTAGAGTTTAAGATAGCGTTTTATTTATTATTGTTATCATTTATTTTATTATTGTTGTTTATTGTTAATACTATTTATTTGTTTATTTGCATTTGAATAAAGATGTCTAATTGTGCATTGCATTATGATGTTAAAAATATATGTTTAGATTAAAAATTATATGTTTATATAGTTTGTATTTTATGCTGTGTGTATTTCACGCGCCTTTTTTGTTATTCAAAAAAAAAAAAATACAGTTGCAAACCTTTATCGTGGAATGTAGAATCTTTTTTTTTTTTAAATCGTTATTAAAATTATTTATAAATGTAGGTTGCGTTTGTCAATAGCATTTGAACTAGCTTTTAGAGTTTAAGATAGCGTTTTATAAAAACTTAATCCGTGTAATATTTAGCTTTTAGCTTTTTGTATATAAAAGGGTACTTAAATAGCTAAAAGTTAAGCGCTATCAAAACAATTAACAAATAATAAAATAGTTAATTTTGTCGAACAAATTCATAATTATCTTTAGATTTATCAAAATTTAGTTGTAAATTGGTAAAAATTTGAAATAGAGAATTTTCGAGCAGTTGGGATTTGTAGAAATGAAACATATCCTTTCATAATATATTTACACAGAGTTAAATGTTTCATAATTTACACAGAGTTAAATGTTTCATACCTAAAGCAGCTACTATTAAAATAATTCTTTATCTGAAAATCATCCCCCTATAAAAAAAAAAAAGCCTATCAAGATCTAAAAGAAAAAAAAATTGTGTAAATAATCATGGTCGCCTCCATGTCCTAGCTATAAGGAAGTATGGCGTTAATAAAAAATTTTTGAAGCCAAAACCCGTTCATGTGCTTCCTTTGGGCATTTTTTATAGCCTAAGTTCTATATCCCAATTCACTTTAATTATTAATATTTAAGAGTCACATTCTTTTTTTTTTTTTTTTTAATGTGAGCCTAACCTTAAAATCTTATCTTCTTATGCTTTCAAGATCTTTTCATTATGATGCCAAATGGACATTTACCGAATAGTCATTCTATCTTTAATACATGATTATACCAATAGTCATTCTATTTTAATACATGATTAGAGGTGCATAAATTCTACAACTGTAGAATTCACTGACAAATAAATATAAATATAAATAAGTTCTCATACATATAATTAATTAATTAATGAAATTAGAAAATTCTTTTCTAGCTTTGCGATGAAGGAAACAAAGCTTTACCATGATAAGAAGAATCTACTTCCTGAAAAAGTTAAATAAGGATATATAAGTTTTATAAAGAATAATAATTATTGTACAACACATGCATTCACACGAATGTATAAATATATCAATTTAGTCATCCGACTAGTTATATGATCAAGCAAGCGATCACACAAATGACATAACAACAACAATAAAAAATATTATCACTTTCACATAATTACATCACATGAAAATTAGTCAGTGGCCTCACCGAAACCCCCGATGAGCCGTCCTCTCATATGGCTCATTCTCTCATGACGTGTGTACCAGGGAGCCGATCTCCCATATCTAGCCGACCAGTCTGATCCTCACTTGACCAGTCCTCTCATTTTTTTTATACCCTCTTTTCTTTTCCATAACAACAGGAGGCCACTTTGTGGTTTTCCATATCATCTATATCATATCATCAGATATGCACACGGGGGTGTTGATCTCTCCATACCTGGTCGACGATATCGAAGACCCTCTCACAAATCCATGGTAACCTACTTCATTCCAATTCCACACAAACAAGGCATAACAATATCACAATACAAATAATCAAACAATGCAATTAAATGCAAGCATATTAAGTAATTAAACACTGTCATGCAAGAGCGTAAATAACCATTCATATATAAATAACCATTCACTATATCAAATTCAAATAAATAAAGGAGTAATTAATTAATATAATATAATAATTGATTGCTTGAAAAAATAAATAATAATAATAATAAATAAAAGAGTTTATTTAATATATCAAAGTTACAAGAAATATATCAAGTTAAAGAATTAATCTAACTAAACCTATTAACATAATTATTAAATATGATTAGCCTAAATTTTATCGAAATTTCGGCGAAACTTTCCTTAGAAATTGAAGTAAACCACCTGCTTAAAACTATAATTCAGTAATAAATTTTCAAAGCTCATCCATTGAGCAAATGACAACAACTATCTCGTCTGCTATAATCATTTTTTATTCATATAAATATTTACTCAATTCATACAGCCTATCTGTCGGGCTACCCATCTTCCTTAAACATCAACATTATCACCCAACTATCTCAACCATAAATTTTACGAATTAAAGCAAGTTTCAACCGATTCCAATAACATTCTCAACCATTCTTTACTTAGGATATCAACAACGTCCTTAAACATTTATTAAATTCTAGACTAGCTATTAAGAATGGATGGTTCAATTAAATTATAATTTAAGAAAAGCATCTTCTAAGTAACCCAATTTACAACTTTAACTATGTATCAATCAAAGCTTCATCAAAGCTTCATGCTACTCTTCTCCATCTTACATAAAAATTCCCTCTCTAGATATAACCGACCACTCTAATGATTATAAAAAACATTGAAAACTATATGTATTCCATTATTCACATTAGTTTATACTATTAAAATGGCGTATCAATTATCTCACTTCAATAATTTTTCTTTTGAAATAATATTCTTCTAAGCACTCGTTGCACAGTAAACCGTTGCAAGTAATTTTAATTATTCTTGAAGTATTCTGCCAATCCCCATCTTCCTCAATACCATTTCAATTTATATATGGATCAATCATATCTATTAATTAAGGAAATTATATATTTGCATTCCAAGATCCTATGATTGCTTTTTAATTAACTATTTATTCGAAATTAACTTATTTAACTAAAATTTTCAAATTTGGAATTTATTACCAAAAATTATGAACTACGTCTTAAAGCGAACTGATTGAAAATTGAACAACAATTCCACCATCCACGCGAGGGGAAGAGGATTCTGCCTTTTGGGACCAACCGGAGACTCACCGTAATAATATATTAATTCCGCCATGAATATGCAAAAATTTCAAATAAATAATAACTTTGAAAAATAAAATATAAAAATTTTAAATGTCTTATTTATTAACATGTCTTATTTATCATATATAATTTATATAAAAAATAAATTATATTCAAATTCAATTAATTAAACTGTAAATCAATTAATAAACTGTAATTTTTTATTGGTCATCTTTAAGAGTATTTTAAAACATTTTAAATTTATTTGAATAGCATAATTAGTAGCATCATAGAAACAACTAGTTAAGTTAATGAGTCAACATTTGATTTGTTAGAATTTCAAAAAATAAAAAAAATAAAAGAGAGAAAAATGTGAGTTTTTGACCTTTGTTACAAATTTACAATTATATCAAGCTAAACATACGTAGGTATTAGTTAGTTAATTATTCAATCGCATTATAAACATAAACACATCATATGCTATGACTCATTTTCGTATTAGTCTATGTAAATAGGAAAGTTACGGTCAATATGTAGTTCATCATCATGAATTTTATACTCAGAGACATGAAAATGAGTTAATACGATTATTTAATTAAATAGGATAAATTATTATTTAATTCCTGAGATTTTTCTAATTAATGAGTTCATTCCTCTTTAATGAGTTCATTCCTCCTTTTTTTTTTTAAAAATAAAAATATTAAATTAGGTTAATTACGTTACATCCGTCAAAAAAAAAAAAATATTAAATAGTTAATTACGTTCATCCGTCAAAAAAAAAACAAAAAATCGCTTTGTTCAAAATAACTAGAGAATTTTATTAAATTAATGAAAAACATACTAAACTATTTTTTACTTTTCACTTAGTATCTTCTAGTGACTGAAAATTTTTTGAAAAAACCCAATATCAATTTCCAATTTGTACTATATCATTCGTCGTTGCATATAAAATTTATGACAGGGTTATATAGTGATTCTTATTACACATAGGGAAATACTAAGTTTATGCTGGCAAATATGTTTGGTTCTCGGGAACTAAATGAGGACACCCAACTCTGTCCCTTCTGCAATTTTGGAAAAAGACAAGCAAACCCAACAACTTTCATAATTATGGAACCTTAGAGCAACGTGGCTTTAGTCTCCTCTGGCAAGAAATAACTATTTCTTTATTGTGGATTTTCTTTTTCACATGATTTGAATTTTATTTCAAGTATGATTTGAATTTTACTTTCAAGTGACAAATCAAGTCAGACTTTAAAAATTATTTCTACATATATAGACGAATTTTATTTCAAGTGACAAATCAAGTCAGACTTTAAAATTATTTTACATATATAGACACACAGAAAAAAAGAAGAGAAAAACAACAAAAAAAAAGAGAGGAAATTATAGACTAAAAAAAATTTAAAAGAGCTTCGTTGTAGATGTTCCAAAGTAGCGCATTTGATTCTGGAGCAACAGAAGAGATCTCTTCTTTCCACTTGGCATGCAAATGCACCATCTGCTTATTCATAATTTGACTTACCTAACAAAGTCCAAAGTTCATCATGAAATAAAAGTCTTGTTAATTTGATATGAAGACAGATAATAAAACTTACCTTCAGAAAGCAATTCTATTCACTAATTTCTTCTTCTTCTTCTTCTCTGATAAGAACTGCAGGTGTTGTTAATACTTCTTTTTAGCCTTGGATGTCCTTCACCTTCAATCAGCTTCACCAACCAAGTAGGTTTTCTTGTTCTGAACACAAGGTATCCCATTGCGAGACCAAACACTGCTCCAAATGCATATCCCGTAAAAACAGATTTCCATCCAAATCCATTTTCATCAGAGTTTGAATCTTCTTGGCCTGATGGTGTCATGACTTGTTGCCTTTCACCAGAATTACAAGCCTTTTGCAGTGGAAATCCACACAGTCTTGTGTTTCCTTCATACGAGCTATTATCAAATGTGTTGAACTGAGGGCCTGTAGGTATGGGTCCTTCAAGTTGATTATGCGAAATAGAAAATACTGCGAGGGATGTCAAAGTTGCATAGAAAATACTGCGAGGGATGTCAAAGTTGCCAATTGGATCGGAATCCTTCCAGTAAGATTATTTGAAGAGAGGTCTAAAGATTCCAGATTGGTCAAATTTCCTATTGATGGTTCAATATTGCCTGTAAGATGATTGTGAGACATGTTGAGCTGCTTAAGTCCTTTAAGCTTTCCAACTGACTTGGGAATTTTTCCTGTGAAGTTATTACCTGACAAATTGATGGTTGTTAAAAGAGTTTGGATTTTCACCAACTCAATTTCCAATCCTTTCCATGTCAACCTCCATGTCAACCTTACAGAATAATCATAGGCGTCGTTTGGTGCTCTCATGTATGTCATATGCTGATCAACATTGATCATTGCATCGAAATTATTGAAATAATATGAAGGCAAAGGTCCGCTGAAATTGTTGTTGGAGAGGTCCAAAATCCGTAGCTTGGGAAACAGATAGTTGGCAATGGAGTGCCTTTTCACCAAACCATGGAGTCTATTGGATGAGTCTATTGGAATCGTAGCTGAGGAATCTGCAAACTTTGAAGAGTTTGTAGAAAAGAAGCGGAATGCTGTCCTGTATCTCATTGTTGCCCATATGCTAAAATTTCCAAATCTACAATTGGAAATGGACGTTGGGATTTTTCCCTTGCAAGTTGGTTGCACAATGAAATTCAAATATCTCACGTCTACTGCCTTACTGAAAATAACTTGCAGGGAGAAACTCCATTAAAGTTATTCATACCCAGATGATACATACTGACAAGGCTGCTGCCTGCAAGTTCCCAACAGTGCAATGACGGACCACTGAAATTGTTAACTCGACAGGTCAACGCGATTGGAGTCCTGATTTGACAGGTCAAGGATTTGGAGTGATTTTGACTCACAAACTGCAGAAGGAATTTCTCCTGTCAATTTCTCATTTGATGAAAGAATGAGAAGCGTCAAGTCCAGCTGATTGAAAATTGAGCTTGGAACTGTGCCAGACAACTTGTTATGGCTCAGATCAACATATTCTAATGTATGATTATATTTGAATTGACATACTTGACCAGTGAGCAAGTTATTAGACAAATCGAAGTACACAAGGCTAGAAAGCGTGCAAATATCTGAAGGAATTCGACCACTAAAATTATTGTATGAAAGGAACAAAAATCGGAGTTGGTTATAGTTTCCAATGAAAGATGGAATTGGACCATTGATATTGTTACTTCCCATATCTAAATAGAAGAGCTGGCTAAGGTTTGCAAATGAGGGAGGAATTGGGCCACTAAAATTATTGTATGAAAGGTCCAAGACATAGAGTTTTTCAAGTTTTCCAATTGAGGATGGAATTTGACCAACGAAATTATTATCTCCAAGTTCCAACTCAGTGAGTTTTGATAAATTACTAAACAATGCAAGATTAGACCCTATGAAATTGCAACTGCTGAGTCGCAGTGATTCCAACAAATTTAGATTTTTGAAAAATTCATTTTCTAAATATACTGGAATTTTAGTCTGAGAAAGAGACAAATGGTAGAGTGAAAGACTCCAATTTGACGTTGGAAAAGAGCCACTAGGCCTTCATTGTACGCTAAGTCTAAGTCTTCGAGATGTGGAAGCTGAATTATACTGTCTTGAAATTTCCCTCTCAACCCAGAAGATGAGAGTCTAAGGGAGGACAAAGAAATAGATAAATTGATAAAGGAATTAGGAGAAACGAAAGACAGGTCTGCACCGCTTAGGTCCAATTCTTGCAACTTGGTTAAGTTTGACAGTTCATGCACCAGCCTCTAGGTTCCAATTCTTGCACTTGGTTAACGTTTGAAATGCAGCTTCGTTTTTAAAACTAGCAGTCTGCTTTCTAATCGTCAAATTCGAAAGTTCCGGGAAAGCATCAAGAGAAACCAAAATTGGAACAGCTGACCCGACATTTTCCTAATGGAATTTGGCTATTTCAAAGTTGAAGTTTATTTAGATTGAGGCGCTGTCAAACAGCTCAAAACAAATGGCCAATTTGAGATGGAATTATTGGAGCCTCTGAAAATTATTGTAAGAAGAGATCTAGTCTTTTGAAACGATGATGAAGAGCGAAAAGAGAATTATTTAGAATGGAAAGGTTACCGTAAAGCATTACTGCTAGAAAGGTTAAGCCCAATCACCATAGCCAGTATTAAAGTCAACCACGCTGCAAACAACCATCCCAAAAGAAGCAACCAATCCCGCTGCCCTCCAACAATCCGTGCCCTCTTTCCATGAATCTATCTTGGGATAAGAATTAATAAAAGGATGATAACTCCCGTTAATGGAGAAGGAGTTTTTGAATTGGAGCAAGGCATTGCTTTGATCAACCTGGCAAACTACGTTTAAGAAAGGGGAATTTGTAATACTTGAAGAAAGAGATTGAAAATGGAAGTGAAATAAAAGGAGGCAGAGAAATTGAAAATGCTGCAGTAAGCAACCAAAACCCATGTTTTGTGTTTGCCAAATTTAATTATGATCAAGTTCAGCATATATCACTCCCTATTTATAGACCACATGATTCCCTTTTTGTTTGAATCATGATAATGTTCTCTCTCCTCTAATTTCTACCACTTAGTGCAAGAGCCACTGTAATTCTATTCTATTTTTATTCATATTTTTTTTATTGTTATTATAGAATTACAGGCTATACTGTATGTTTCATAATATTCCTTTCATAATTAGAAAAAAGTTTAACTCTAATTATTTTTAAAAAAGTGATTATCATGATCGGGATGGATTGTTTGAAATCATGCATGAATTAATGTGAATATTAGAAATTTTAAATTTTATACTTTTAGAAATTACGTTGGTTTCTGTTTTCTGCAATTATGATCTTTTTCTCAGAGGTTTTTTCATTTTTTCTTTTTGCAGAATCCTCAGGTTGTCAAAAAAAAAAAAAAAAGAAAGAATATTAGTAATAATAAGCTAGACCGATATGGTTTTTATTCCGTATTTAATATAATCCACAACACGACCTCATAAAATTATAACAACAAATAAATAAGAAGTACATCCAAAAGAAGCAAGAACTTTTCAAGTCTTGTCTAGATTCGGTGCATGACCTCATTTATTAGACTAAACAAATGAATTAAAAGAGATTTTTTAAAAGTGTTTTTGACTTTTTTTTTTTTAAATGTATAATCAAAAATACTGAACATCATATCAGTAAAAAATATAAATTTCCCCCCCAAAAAAAATTTTTTTAAGTTTTTTTTTTTTTAATTTATAAGTGGAATTATAACTGGTCTAAAGTAGTTTTTCCATGCACCATATACCACGTTGGGATAATTATTAAAAGGTATCGAACCTTTATCGCCTTTGGGCAAAGGTGAAATTTATTTGCTTTCACTATAATCCTTAATTAAAAAAACTCATCAACAAGTGAATAGTATAAAGGTGTTGTTGTCAAATTCAGTCAATATCTGAAGATTTATGCAAAGGTCTTTCTTTTTTGCTCGAAATCTTTGATAAATTAACCATTATGCTACGTTTTCATTCTAGTTAAGCAATTCTATCTTAAATCCAGCGAATGACTTATACAAGTCTTTCCTGCCTACCTTATTCATGAACCAAAATTACTTTCAACATCGTTTGAGGTTTTACTGATTGAGAAATTCATAGATGATTCTATCTAGCAAGTGACGTGTATATTAGATGAAGAATGTTGTTTGGCAAATTTAGCTATTTAGCAGCTATTTAGCTATTTTTAATAGTTGTCAACTGATTTTTATTCAGCTTGTTAAATGTTATTTTGTTAGCTTTTAACTAAGTAGCAATTATAAGTAAAAGTGTTTTTCGATGAAAACACTGTATGATCTACATTAAATTTAAAATAAATAAAAAGGATGTTGAAATATAATTTAGAATTTTCTTTATAATATAGATAAATCCGTTAGAAAGAAGGAAAAAAAAAAAGATGATTTCATTAAACCGTAAATTTTTCAAAATTTAAGGAGTAAAATTGAAAAGTTCATTGTTTTATAAATAAAATATGAAATTTTTTAATATTTCAGAGATGAATGTTTTTAATTTTTAATATTTCTTGAATTCAAATGAATATATTAAAAGAGCAGTGGGAAGTGGCATGGGCAGCGGGAGGGAAGGATTGACTATTTTTCTCTGGTTTTTTATTTTGGATTTTAAGTTTGATTTTTTGATGTTGGTATAAATCTCATTGATGGGTTTTGTCAGATTCGTTTTCTTCTTTTTAGATTTGAGAGGAAAAAAAAAAAATTATTTGTCAGATTCGTTTATTCTCTCTTTTCTTTTTCCCAGCAAAAAGAAAAGTTGCCACACAGAGAATAGAGAAGGGGAGAACGTGAGCGGCTTTGTAAAGACGCGTCATTGTAACAAGGTTGTTTTCTCATTTATTCACACCGCTTTTTTGTGTCCATATATCTATGTTTTCTATCGGTCTATTCTCTTTTGATTGACCACCTCTTTTAGTATTTTATTCACATTTACCTTTTGGTTGTTTCAGAAACTAGGACTTCTCCTCTCTTATATCTCTTGCAGTGGTGCTGGTTGCTGCATTTTTTTTATACTTCTCTTTCTGGTTTATCTTTATTTTTGTTATTAATTGGTACCATTTGTTTTTCATTTCTCTTTTTTATTGAGTATCAGTACTGACAAGACCATTTGGGAGAGAAAGAGGTTCAATAAAATTGAAAAGTTCACTGTTTCATAATAAAATTTAAAATTTTTAACAATTTTAGGGATGAATGTTTTTAAATTTTTATATTTCTTTGAATTCAATGAATATATTTGCTTTTTATTTTTTTGAACTTCAAACTATTCACGATAATGCATATTGATGTACATTTAATATTTTATATATACAATTTCAAATAATATCTAATTATGTGGTCCTACGCATATACTGATAAATTAATTGATTTATGAAATTAACCAGCTATAAATTTAGATTAAGAAAAATCATACTATAAAATTAATCAGATATAAAGATTAGCAGAAATTTTTACAAATTTTTAAAGAAATACAATAATTCAGTTATAGATTTATAATTAGTTGTCTGTTTTTATTTTAATTTTTGTTAAAAAAAAATCTATTAAGCCATGCTCTTTTGTTCGTTTTGCAATCAGGCAATAATGTTTTAATTTTATTTAATTGCTTTCTTCCCACAAGTGATTTGCAGCAGAATCCATGAATGGCATGAGACAATCCTACTTGTATATTTATGAAGGAAATAGTCTTGTCTAGGTCAATGAATTTTGTATATGTCGCTGTTGCTTCTTACTATTCTAATATAATTCTAATACTTGCTTATTCAAAGCTATATAATTACACAATATGTTTTTTGGATTTTTGGGAATTTAAGCCTTATTGAAGAAAAAAGGAATCCTACATTCCAAAGTTGTGTCTCAAGACAAATTTAATTAAATTGGAAACATATATACTATCTTAATTAGATTACAAATTATATGTTTATTATATAGTTATTGTATTTTAATGCGATGTATAT